GCCACGTTGCGGGTGGCCCACACGTGACCGTGCGTCACCTCGTACTCGCCCAGCAGCGTCCGCAGCAGTGTCGACTTGCCGCTGCCCGTCGCGCCCACCACCACCGTCAGTTGTCCCTCCGGGATGACGAGAGTGACACCCGTCAGGAGGTCTTTTGGCATCAGCTGATGGAGGGCACCGTCCTTGTTGTCGCCATCATTATCATCATCTTCGCCTTTTCCCCTCTCCTCTTCCCCCTCATTTTTCACCTTTCCATTGTCGGCGCTGTGGCTGTCATCGCCACGCGGTGCGGCAGTCTCGTTGCTGCGTTGCAGCTCCACCCACTCCTCTTCCGGCAAGGTGCGGCGGCGGCGGCCGCCGCGGAGGAGGCGGCGCAACCCCCCAATGGCGCCTGTAGCTCTCCTGCGGCACTTTGGAAGGTGTCGCGGCACGAACGTCGTCACCGTCACGTCATCCAATGCAGCCGCAGCACCGACGGAGAAGAAACGCGATATATTCTGCACACTGGAGCGGTTGTTATCGCACTCAAGGAATACTGTGAGACGACGCGCCGACACGAGGCACTGCAGCAGCGCTGAAACGATAACAGGGATCATGAAGAAGGGCACGCGCATGAGATTCAGCAATGCGATGGTTGGAAACACAACCGTTGGCGTGAGCTCATTGCCCGTCGCGTAGTAAAGGAGGAACACTACTGCAATGACGAGGGTTGGCGTGGCGCCGTTGAGCAGCGTGAGTGCCACCTCCGTGTACTGAATCTGCTTTAAGCACTCGATCTCCTTCTCACGTGCCCGCTCGATCTCCGCTATGAAGTGCATCTCCCAGGTCATAAACTTCACGATGCGAATGCCAGAGAAGAGCTCGTTTGTGGCTCGAACGCGGCTGTCAACGATGACCGACATCCTCTCGCGNATCGACGACTGCCAGCGCGAGATGACGCCTTGTACAGGAAAGGTGACGAACAGTACCGACACGCCGGCGAGTGCACACCAGCCGACGAGGCGGTACAGCAGCGCCACGGCGGCCAGCAGCACCAGCGGCGCGCTGAGGAAGTACATCACGTACCAGTTGAGGTCACCAATGTTGCTTACATCGGTGCTCGCCATGTTCATGATGCGCCCAACACTCATCTCTGGCAGCAGCAGCGACTTCTCCGCGATGGTGAGACACTTTTCGAAGAGCACCACCATCGCAGCGTTCTCGAAGATGGCGGCGGCACGGATACTCATATGGTCGTACTTATGCGCGGCGCAGCTCTGCACAACGCTGAGGGCGAACACTGCCACGACGAGGCCGAGGCCGTCACGCCACGACGCGTCCTCCGCCCCGAGGTACGCGACGTATCGCTCCAGTACGATGGGCAACGTGATGCCGCAGAGGTCGGCGAGCAGCCTGTTAGGCACCTGCACCCAGATGTGGTACGCGTGCGCCTTGATGAGGGACAACAGGATATTCGGCGTCGCGGGCCGTGCTGCATTTTGACCACCAGAGGCCAGCACCTCGATCGCGTTGACCGGCTCGCACGAGGAGCAGCCGCGCCGCGCCGGATAGAACAGCCGCTCCCCGTGCACCTCGCCGTCGTGCAGCAGCAATGGCGTTGACTCTGCCGCGT